GACTAACCGCTTTGAATCAAGACGTACCACATATTGAGTCCTGACTGGTCTTACTGTGAATTATTGATATCTTAAGAGGGGACATTTGCCCCTCCCCAAACTCTCCAGGGCCCTCTTTCAATCACCTCTGATTTGTGTTACTTGACTGCCCATATGCGATTGTGAGGATCCCCCCTCCCCAAAGTCCTACATGGAGCCTCAGTCCACCCCACCAGCGGCTCACTGATCCCCAGCACCCGCCCCGTTGTCCTGGAGACGCGCACATCAATATGGCCACCAACCGGCGTGGACTTGGGTGGGTGAGAGTGAGAGAGCCTCTCTCGACAAGGGGGTCCTTTTCAATCTCTCAGAGGAACAATTGTGTCCACAGACCCAAGAGGAGGCTCAAGTCTGGCTTCTTTTTTATCTAAACGGTACTCTATGCACAGGAGGGCTTATTAGATTAACAGAGAACACTAATCTTCCTCACAGGCTCTCCGAGATGTACTGGCTAACTTTATTAGTCTCAGTAGACAAGGCCAAATCTGCTGACAGCACAGGCCAAGGTAAGAACTAAGTCTAATTTAACTCGAATCGTAATGGCGAGGCGCTGGAGGTTCCCAGAAGCAGAAGAACTGGGCAGTACCTGGAGCAGACGCGCAAATCCCAATAGCGGATGAAAGTGTCGTATCCACAGGTGAGGAGCTGGAAGGGAGACTCATAGACGATGTCCAACACACCTGCGCCACGGCGGAACTCTGTACCGAGACACGACACCAGGTGACACCTGGGAGAAAGAGATAAGAGAAGAAGCTTGCAGATTATACCTTGTCAAACCTCATTGAGGAAGATTAACACATTAATAAAAACACAGACAGCAACTTAAAACGCAGCCGAGATGGAATTACGCAGACTTGCTGGAGGCCAGTAATTCCAGAGAGAGTTGAAAAGCAACCGGACAAGTGAGGTCATCTGCGTCTCATCGTCTGTGTATCAGTTTTATCAAAGCGATTCAGTGACTGGCAAGCTCATAAAACAGGTCGTGCTTACTTGTTGAGATTGGAACATCTCCCAGTCTTCGCATCCCGGAGTCAATAAAGATCTAATTTCAAACCAAACGCCTTCATTTGCTCACTTAATCTCTTATTACCATTAAATCCCACTATACTTTTGGCGTTTCCAATGTCCATGGACCACACAAAAGCTAAATGAAGTCTTAGGATGAAGAGATAAAAAGTAAACACCTTTCTGACTTTGAATGGGCTGCTAAAGCAGCTTAGTTTGGCCATAAGGTACGTTCCCAGATACGCGAAAGAACCGAGAGGAGTGGAAGAAAGGAGATTTGAGGGGAGAAGTGGGGGGGTGTCGGGACTAGCACCACGCTTCTATGATCACAGACCCAATGGTTCCACGGTGCCCTCCGCCCCCACCCGAGCCGCAGAGGCCAGATTATTGTAGAATCACAATTTCTTTGTTGCTATTTAATTCCCTCCATGACCGTGACTGTGTGCGACTTGTGGACCTTTGATACCTGGCCCCTAGCAACCATTTAGGGGAGCCCAATGGCCATAGCGACCACCCCCCACGTTCGAGGTCTCCTGTGAGCTTGTTCACCGAGGGCAGACTGGTAATCCCCAACCTTCGCTCTGGGGGAGACAAGGGGGGTCTTTCTTAGACACAGGCTCTTTAAAAGATAGTCCCGCAGAACCAAAGGCCAAGACCCTGGTGGGCCTAAAGACAAACTCTCTTGCAGCCCCTCGGGCATCTGCATACCCATCATTTACCCCTTGCTGCTAAAATAACACGCTGGCAACAACTTGAACTGATGACAGTGCTGTCAATGGGGACAATCAATTAAATTACACAAAGCATTTGTTTGCAAACCATGCAATTTGCATCAGATATTTCTTTTTTAAGTGCTTTAGGAAATTGTGTAAACTCAGGTCGGGAGAGAAAGAGAGAGAGAGAAAGAGAGAGCGTCCGACGTCTGCCTGGGACGCTCTGCAAATGTCAAAGCACGAAGTGAGAAAAACAAGCATCGTAAAAGAAGTCCTCACATCTGTGCTCTGATTTTAAAGCCAGTAATAGCACTGTTCCAAGTACAACAGCAAACACCCAGGATGCTTTAGGAAACTGTGTAAACTCGTGTTGAGAGAGAGAGAGAGAGAGAGAGAGAGAGAGAGAGAGAGAGAGTCCGGAGTCTGCCTGGGACTCTCTACAAATGTCAAAGCGCAAAGTGAGAAAAACAAGCATCGTAAAAGAAGTCCTCACATCTGTGCTCTGATTTTAAAGCCAGTAATAGCACTGTTCCAAGTACAACAGCAAACACCCAGGATTCTTAAATTGTTAGGTCACAGGTTTTTTTTTTATGCGTCCCATGTTTTCTCTCCCATTTTAGAGAGAACCTGTGAAGATTACAGGATGGAGGATAACCATATAATCTTTTAAATTACTGCATCTGCATGGCAGGCAACCTTGTTCTTCCAGTGTCTGATCTGTTTGGGAACTTGCGGTGAGACTGTCCCTGCTCGAAACATCGTCTGATCACGGTCGGTTCGATGAGAGCTTCTGATTGAGTGAAAAAAGGTTAGAGGGCTGCTAAGGAAAAATTGATCTTCGATTTAAACTCATAGTACAGGAGTCATTTAGCAGAGTGATGGCACGTGTTTTATTAAGGTCAGAAGGTGGAATGGACAGATTAATTAAGACATGAGAGCGACTGTCCCAGTGGAGTAATACATATACAGTGTGTCCACCATCATTCCCTCTCGAATGTGGTTCAAAGGCTGCCAAACAAAGGTGGTTTGCCTTCTCCTCCTTTAAGCAAGCAAAACTAAAAATTAAGTAACAATAAGTGGGGCCCTATTGTGGCTTTTTTCACAGCTCTTGCCGAAGGAGACGTCTAATGTTCAGACATGTGGAAGCTGAGAGGTCACTAACAGACATGTCAGGGGCAACTGTGATATTTGCAATCTGCTAAAGTGATCACATGAACCAAATACAGACAGACAAACTAGAGGGAAAAAGCTTTATTTTCTACATCCTTTTAAAGCGTTCCTCAAAGAGCAACTGACCTCAACCTAATCCTCTTTGACCCCTGGACATGTTTAAGCTCAGGCAAAAACAGCACTCAGTACTTGCAATACTTAGTCACTCACCCATACAGAATTTGCAGTTTTTTCTGCACTGATTTTACTAGAAATCTGCAGAATATTTAAATGAATTTAAATATAGCAAAATGCATTGGCAAAACGTAGCTATGAGTAACACACTCTCATTGGGACTTAAAAGTATGATGAAATTATATATAATAAACTTTAAATTAATCATAAATAATTAAATTACATATATACACACACACACTCTTATATAAAGTTGATTGGAAGAAAACCATATTTATAAAAAACTATATATAATATCTGAAATGAATATATTAA